ATAATAATATTAATAATAATAATAATAATATTAATAATAATAATATTAATAATAATAATAATAATAATAATAATAATAATAATAATAATAATAATAATAATAATAATAATAATAATAATAATAATTTAGGCCTATATGAAATTGTTGCTCACTCGTTAAAAAAAGTCTGGATCCTCCCTCTGTGGGATGGTGCCATGAAAACTTTGATACACAAATTCATTCATTCAAATCACTTCTACGAGATTTACACTCTCTGCAGATAAACACTAGCAGTCTGACAAAGGTGATAAAAATAATAATAATAATAAGATTTATAAAGCGCACAAATCCACTGCAGTAGTTAAAAAAATCAGACCTTGCGTTCAATTTAGAAAATAAGTTCAATTAAATGCATTTTGCAGCTGATACCAATGTATGTTTCTTAAATTGACATTTTGACCCACAAATCCTGCTCTTGAGATGCGGTGCTATACAAAATATTTTAAAGCCGCTACAGTTGAATTATTTGTTGAAAATTTTGTCAAGAATGATCCATTTGACATTTAGAGTTCAAACTAACAGCAGGGTGCAAAACACTGATTTTAGCTGAGTAAAACCATCTCAGCCTTCTTTAACTGAGAGAGTTTGTGTAAAAATGACCTCCATAAAGGACTCCGAAATTAGGAGTATATCGGAGTGAAAAGAAAGGTCTACCAGTTTGCAGTGTTTGTTGAGATTTTCCATTACTTGATAGACTTTTTCTTATTGAGATCTGTAATGGACAATGTAGTAGAAACCACTAACTGAATGGTGTTAACATATCTGCCTAAGTTGATGTTGCACATACTTTCCATAATGTCACCTTGTCCTCAGCAAACCAAAAACTCTCAGATCTGATCGTCCAGTTAACAATTGCTTTGTCAACAGGGGGACTTAAGATTAGGTACTACGACATTTTTGGCATCATACTGGATCATATCCTAACACTTCTTTAACAAAACAATGCAATGGTTATTAAGACACCGTCTCATGTAAACCCTATTAAGGTTAGCAGGGACTGAATGGGATGAATACTTCAACAGTCTGGACATCACCAGCAGTGCTTGTAGCATGCAGTACTCTGGTGCATGTTATACACTTCTTACTGCGATCGAAGAACAGGTAACGTAACATAATATTGTTTATTTTGTTTACATTCACATGAATTAAATATTCACAATATTAATGTAAATGTAGTTGTAATGCCAGCAACCATTGTTTTTTTTTTTTACATAATACATAATATATAATATAGTGAATATAATGTTTATTTTAGAAATCCAGTGTTCGTCTTAAAAATAGACAAAATTGCTTATTTTGTTTACATTCACATACATTAGATCATTAGTGTAAATGTAATCGTACAAACACCAGCAATCTATAGTTTCCTTGACATGCACAATATAGTCGTTGTCTTATGTCATATTTTTTAACTTTGTCAATTTTTTGGGTAGATTCTTGGCAAACATGTCTAAACATATCTAAAAAGTACACCGATTAAGAAAAAAATGGGTGCCAGTTTTTTTTTATTCACTTCTAGGGCCTCCATTTTGAATTTCAAAATCGCCGCTGCCGAAAATTAGTTTTTAACAAAAAAATTGCAATTCGATCATCGTTATTTATTTATATATCATACAATAGTCATTTTATTTTATCTGATATCATATAATGGGATCAATGATGCATTGGGAAGAAAATAAGAGCACAAAAAATAACCCTCTCCCAGAAATCTTGCTCTCCCACACATCTCCACTGGATATTCTTTTGCAATTAAAAAAAAGTTTTTCTCAAATACTCACAAAATTGCCACATATCAGTATATTTTGTCATCTGAATCTCCCTAACTTAATCACTGAGCACTGGCACTTAAAACTTCGCCCCTTAATTTCCCCTGCCCCACCACCCCGTCCCGGGCCAGTCCCCCTCCCCAAACTTCTTTGAAAATTAAAAAATAGAGATAAAAGAGGAAAGGTATATTCAAATTTAGGCCTAAGACTGTGAGTGCAATTTCCGGCCATCTAGTTGCCATAGCCACAACATTTTGTTCCTCGGTTTCCACAATGTTGGACAGGGGAAGATTTAGGGAGCGGAACGTTCCCCCTGTTTTCCCACTGTCATTTTTTTTTTGTGTGTGTTACCAGTGAAAATACAAAATCGCATACAAATACTAAGTGTAACAGCATGTACTGTACATCAATCATGTCATTACTAGACATATAGGCTTATCTGTATAATAATAATAATAATAATATTAATAATAATAATAACAACATTAATAATAATAATAATAATAATATTAATAATAATAATAATAATAATAATAATAATAATAATAATAATAATTTAGGCCTATATGAAATTGTTGCTCACTCATTAAAAAAAGTCTGGATCCTCCCTCTGTGGGATGGTGCCATGAAAACTTTGATACACAAATCCATTCATTCAAATCACTTCTACGAGATTTACACTCTCTGCAGATAAACACTAGCAGTCTGACAAAGGTGATAAAAATAATAATAATAATAAGATTTATAAAGCGCACAAATCCACTGCAGTAGTTAAAGAAATCAGACCTTGCGTTCAATTTAGAAAATAGGTTCAATTAAATGCATTTTGCAGCTGATACCAATGTATGTTTCTTAAATTGACATTTTGACCCACAAATCCTGCTCTTGAGATGCGGTGCTATACAAAATATTTTAAAGCCGCTACAGTTGAATAATTTGTTGAAAATTTTGTCAAGAATGATCCATTTGACATTTAGAGTTCAAACTAACAGCAGGGTGCAAAACACTGATTTTAGCTGAGTAAAACCATCTCAGCCTTCTTTAACTGAGAGAGTTTGTGTAAAAATGACCTCCTAAAGGACTCCGAAATTAGGAGTATATCGGAGTGAAAAGAAAGGTCTACCAGTTTGCAGTGTTTGTTGAGATTTTCCATTACTTGATAGACTTTTCCTTATTGAGATCTGTAATGGACAATGTAGTAGAAACCACTAACTGAATGGTGTTAACATATCTGCCTAAGTTAATGTTGCACATACTTTCCATAATGTCACCTTGTCCTTAGCAAACCAAAAACTCTCAGATCTGATTGTCCAGTTAACAATTGATTTGTCAACAGGGGGACTTAAGATTAGGTACTACGACATTTTTGGCATCATACTGGATCATATCCTAACACTTCTTTAACAAAACAATGCAATGATTATTAAGACACCGTCTCATGTAAACCCTATTAAGGTTAGCAGGGACTGAATTGGATGAATACTAAAACAGTCTGGACATCACCAGCAGTGCTTGTAGCATGCAGTACTCTGGTGCATGTTATACACTGCTCCATGGAGTCACAGTTTTAATTCACAAAAAAGCTTACCTTGTTCTGAAAAATGAAATAAGAGTTGTTAGGTGCCGATGACAAAACCAGTTAAAAACATTCGACACACTGGTACTGTTCCTGCAAACCTGAGATAAAATGTCCATGCAATTAAGCCCGCAAACAAAAACAGTAAATCAGGTAGTTTAAATCTTACACCTACATCTTTCAAGAAACAGATAATTCCAGTTAATCAGGGCCTGTATCCAGGGGGGGGGGGTGTTTATGGTTCAGGAGAACCCCCCTTTTCTAGCAAACCCCCCTCTTTTCTGGCGAACCCCCTCTTCAAATTGCTCAAATAAGTCCTCCAACCCAACTAATGCACTGCAGACCCACCCAAACAAAGACCCTTTCAAACATATCTGCTTTTATATCATTATTATGTTCTACAAAATCCTCTTGCTTTGGGGGTTTCGCCGACCCCACCGGGGCTTCGACCGTGTACCTCACGCCCAGAAACCCCCCCCCCCCACCTTAGAAGAACCTGGCTACGGGCCTGTTAATCATTATGCTACAAAAGCTCTGTTACAGCACCCCGAACCAACCAACTTGGATTGTAGACTGATGGTCCAAGCAATTAACTTTGTACATTAAACAGTTTGTTGACTGCCTTTTCAGTGACCAACAGGTTTTAAACCTGGAAAAAAAAACTTGGGTTAATCTCAACAGATTTGGTGCAGAATCCCCACCAAATTGAGAACGTAAAGAGCAAATCAGCAAACAACATAAATGAGAGGAGGTCCCATGGTTTGAAGATTAAGAGCATCAGCTGCCAAGGAAGATCTCCAATGATGACTCCAAAATCAAACTAACGAACAGTTGAGATTTATCACACCAATTCACATGAACGATGCTCCTGTTTCCCATAAGCTCTCCATTTGGTGGGGAAAAATAATATTACAAAGATGCTCCAGTGATGCCAGGTAGATGTACCATTTACCTTTAGAAACTGAAACAGCGTTATCACCTCCCGCATGTAGTTATCTGCTGCATTTATACAATGTAAATTTAGTCAGCTGGTACATAGCAATAATTCACTATTTTTTTTGGGGGGGGGGGCAACATTTCCGAATTTGTAGCACTGACTCAATTGGATTGAAAGTTATATAAATAATAAAGGACAGTTTTTCTACAATTATATATCCTTTATAAAATTTGTGTATACAGTACATGAATTTATCTCCTTTTATATATATCGTGTATACATATAATACATATATGGATATTCAAGTGATAAAAAGATGAGGGGGATTCATAATGATCTGTCTTACTTGCGGTACACCAAGATCCAGTGGCGGATCCAGGAATTTGAAATAGAGGGGGCCTGGAGAGGGACATTCACAGGTGGAGGATCTATATTTCCTCAGCCCCACCATGATTGGGCTGAGGTAAGAAAATTTATGATTATGGCACCTCTAGATGGCCGGAAATGGCACTCCTAGACTAAAAATTTTAGTCGAATTTTCTTTTTTTCGTATTTTCTTTTTTTAAATTCGGCAAATTTAGAGGGGCCCGGGCCGACTTGGATCCGCCTATAAAGAACTAGTGCTGTTCAACTATGCATGCGAAAAGAAATGTGAACGATCAGCTGCTTTAATCAGATTTAAATTCCCAAACGGTGTAATAATGACCCAGTTGGTCACTTTATTATTATTGCCTTTTACTATTATTATTATTATTATTAGCTACATTTCTAATATAGGACAGGTTAAGCTGTCATGCAAACTAAATTCGCATAAAGAAGTTTTGTCCAACCTTTTTTCTGTATACAAATTCCTAATAATTGAATTTTTTATGACAGAAAGTCTGGTAATTTTGGCAAACTTATTGAAAGGTGTTGATAAACGCAACACATTTTTCACTCTAGAAATTAATCACTGGAGCAGAAGCAACACTTTGTTTTATTTTATATAGCGTTACATTGTCAACATATATTATTCTGACGGCAGGTATGGCATCACGACTGGCCCCAAGGAAGGGTAGGCAGCTGTCTCTTATACACATCTAGATGTGTATAAGAGACAGTATATATATAGCCCTATATATATATTATACATATATATATATATTAATTATGCATATAGGACTATATGTATAGTATAGCAAATACAGAAGAACGGTGAAATATTTTGCAATAGCATTCATCGAACATTGATGTTCGATGATAAACAGAAATATTATTACTGAAATAAAATAAAATTCGAGATTTATTATATAGTAAATTATAGTAAATATATGATGTACCATATTCTATATAAACAGGTACTAGCGTAATGCCTAAAGTATAACGATCCATTTGCATCGTTAGATCGTGCTTTGTATGGGCTTATAATTAGTTGCTTTAATATAAATTCAAAATTTAGGCCTATTGTCTACCTATAATATTTCTCATAAATTTGTGTTGGGAGCAATAACTGCTGAATTGACTAAATTGGTTTACATGACTTGTATTTGATGTTTACTACACAATATGTTTAATCTTCTATCAAAAAATAATCACATTATACATATTGTGTCTATAAATGTAAAATAAGTATATAGGCCTATTTATAATTTAATGAAAATATAAATAGGTTTACATGACTTGTGTTTGATGTAAACTACTGCCATGTTTTATCTCCCAAAAATAGTTACATTTTCGAATCACCAAGATGGATGGTGTCAAAAGGGCGTTTTAAAGAGGCGAACGAAACTTTCCGGGCTATTGCAAAATTCAACAAAGTAAAAGATGAGAAGACTTACATCAAGTCAACTTCTTTAAGCATTTGTAGCAAGTTAGACAATTTAGATGAAGTGGGGAGGAGGGAAGAAAAAAAGGAAAGCACCCAAGAGACGAATCGTGTGAAAAAGGAACGAACATATTCGATCATCGACGTTCTACGGCGTCCAAAAATGCGTCGAAATACTCTGATTACTTACTACCTATTGTATGTTGTTATTATTACTTTCAAGTTATTAAAGTTTAATAGGTGCGCGTGGTATACAGTAGAGTTTAAGGGTAATAATAATAATAATAATAATAATAATAATAATAATAATAATTAGTAGAGCTCCGCATAGTACACTGAAGGAAAATTATTATACGAAGGTTAGATTTAATGCTTGAAAAGTTGCGACATTAAATCTAACCTAAGTATAATAATTTTCCGCTAGTGTACGATGCATGCTCTACTAATTGCTTTATAAGTCAATCGCCGTCTTTTAATGTTAGTTTTTATAACCAACTCTGTTGTACCAGTGATCGGTTGCTATAGTGATATGATCAGTATACTGTGTGCGTACTTATATTTTGTGCGTATGCTGATTTGTGCTCCTTTTCAGGCCTACGCATTAACTACACATCAGCAGTACGGATACGATGAACAGGCTATTTTGTAATTTGTATTGTGTTAAAAGAACTTGTTTGTAATTTTTCTCATTCGTCAAAGAAATAAACATTTTCAAAGCATTCGAGAGAGAATACAGACAATGTCACTAACGATTTGGTCGGTGCAGACAGGTAAAAATTTTGGGATGATTTCATAACTACGGTCCACTACTGCCTAAGCTAGTAGTATGTAGTGTAGTGCCGGTCAGCTGGCAGTCACCTGATCAATAGGTTCTGGTGATCACATGATCCCACGTTTAAGGGCGGTCATGACCTATGACGTTGCGCCCTGGGATGACGTCACCGTCCCAACCATAAACTGAAAGTGTGAAGTGTCACTTGAGATTTGACGATAGCACTGATAACACAACCTGAATTCTACAAACCGTATCTACTGAAGAAACTTTCACCTGGACTACGAGCCAGTGGCGATTTAGGTGAGTTAAGGGAAATGTGACGGCTAGCTCTCAATGTTAAAATGAGCGTAGTGTATGTGTTCTGTTTACATGGTGGCGAACTTTGCCCGTTCTCAGAATTATAGTGCACTAATTAAGAACAATTCGCTCATTTTTATTTCTAAGTTTTCTTATTTTCTTATTTAGAATTTCAAAATATGTACATATGTTACAAGGTGTTCTAGTTAAACGGGATTTTCACATTCCCTTTTTTGTATTTAATGTTGAAAATTGTGGGGCTTAATTCTACCCCACCACTGCATGTTCTTGGTGTTTCTTGTTACAAAAAAAAAAAAAAAAAAAAAAAAAAAAAAATTGACAGGAAGAGGAATACTGTGGATTCTGCACCCGTACATTCATTTAGTTGGAATGCGCCAAACCGGTCAGGAATATGTCAACCCGGACCGTCTCCCCCATCAAAAAACAAATAAAAAATAAATAGGGGAAGAGTGTAGTGCCGGTCAGCTGGCAGTCACTTGATCAATAGGTTCTGGTGATCACATGATCCCATGTGTAAGGGCGGACATGACCTATGACGTTGCGCCATGGGATGACGTCACCGTCCCAACCAGAGACTGAAGGGTGAAGTGTCACTTGAGATTTGACGATAGCACTGATGACATAACCTGAATTCTACAAACCGTATCTACTGAAGAAACTTTCACCTGGACTACGAGCCAGTGGCAATTTAGGTGAGATATGCTATTATACTGTATACATCTTAAGTCAACCGTAGTAATAAGTATAACATTTTACTATAATGGCGACGAGGATTAAAAGATAATTTTTAGGTACCCTGGTGGTGTGCAGGACCTCGTATGGTGTATCCAACGTAGCGTCCAGCAGCTAGCGAGGCATAGCCCGCAGCATCAACTACCTTTGGTCGGTGCAGACAGGTAAAAATCTTGGGATGATTTCATAACTACGGTCCACTACGGCCTAAGCTAGTAATATGTAGTGTAGTGCCGGTCAGCTGGCAGTCACCTGATCAATAGGTTCTGGTGATCACATGATCCCATGTGTAAGGGCGGACATGACCTATGACGTTGCGCCCTGGGATGACGTCACCGTCCCAACCATTGACTGAAGGGTGAAGTGTCACTTGAGCACTAATAACATAACCTGAATTCTACAAACAAACCGTATCTACTGAAGAAACTTTCACCTGGACTACGAGCCAGTGGCGATTTAGGTGAGTTATGCTATTATATACATCTTAAGTCACCCGTAGTAATAAGTATAACACTTTTTACTATAGTAGGAGTAGGCCTAGGCCTCGGTGGCCTGCTGCCTGGCCGTAGGCCAACATCTATTTCGTTCCTTGAGTCTTTAAAATAGGTCTAGAATATTCCTATTAAACGTTCAGTCTGTTGAGTTTATTAGGGTTCATTGATTCAAGGAATTGCTTAATTGCTCATACTTAATATTGAATTTAAAGTAACTTTCTTCAGGCTCTAATTAACCTTGTTTTACGAAAGTAATTTTTAATTACAATTCAATTGTAATTAAAGCATTAGCATTACAAACAAGTTCTTTCTAACATAATTACAATAGTTATTCATCGTATCCGTACTGTACTGCCGATGTGTATTTATTATTAAACGCGTACTGCAGGAGCAAAAATCAGCATAGGCACAGCTAAATGTAAATACGCACACGTATACTGATCATATCACTATAGCAACCGATGACTGCTACAACAGTTGGTTATAAAAAACTAAAATTAAAAGACGGCGATTGACATATAAAGCAATTAGTAGAGCATGCGTCGTACACTAAATGGAAAATTATTATACTTAGGTTAGATTTAATGCATTCAAAAATTTCCTTCGGGCCTTGCAGGCCCCCAGGAAATGTTTTCAAGCATTAAATCTAACCTTAATAATTTTCCTATAGTGTACTATGCTGAGCTCTACTAATTGCTTATTATTATTATTATCATTATTAAAATAATAATTAAATTAATAATAATATAGATATTTGTAAAGTGTCAGTATCTGGTATCAGTCAAACCCGACGCTCAAGGCGATCGATGCGTGGATATTTAGTAACTTCCTGCGTAGCGAAGACATGAAAAGGGTCTTTTCGTGTCTTCGCTACCCGGAAAACAGGTACAACAAACTACTTTCGTTTGTCCACCGCAGAGGCTGTATGGACCAGCAGACCGGGGTATACTCCTACTCGTCTCGAATGATATACTGGTTTAATATCACTGGGCCTACAGTTTATAAGCCTTATCCGAAAAGACTTGTACCACCACCAGGACAACAAGCGAGTGTGCCGCTCTAACCAGCGCCTTAACGGCTTTGCCAATCGACTCACCAAAATAGATGAGAATAAAATGTCTGCAAAGCATTATGATGCTTTCATACAGTAAACTATTTGTCAGAAAGATATGGATCGCCGGCAAAAAAGGATACTTATTTATTTAACTAACGTAATATTTACAGTAAAATATGTAACGTGAAAGTAAAAAATTAAAAACAGAAGTAAAATAAAAAAAGAAGTCAATAATATGTGAACTGCAGAGGCCTGGGCATATAATTCGCATTGTAAAGCTAACATTCTAATTTCATTATTAATTTTTTCTATGCATTTAGTTTGGTAAACAGCCTCGTCTATTATGGGATGGCATTAAACAGTACCAATTTGTATGGTAATAAGTATCTCAACACATTTCTGGCCTGCCTGGTTGATTTGCCAAGTGGTATAATTATTATCTATCTCATACAAAGGTAAGTAGGCCTAATTATGATACATTATGCTTCACAAAAAAATGTATTACGTCATTGAAACACGGAAAAAATACAAAAGCGTTAACATAAATTAGTATAAATTATATACCTGCTAACAGAGCGTCGGATAGTACCACCTTGGTACCACAATGTCCAGTTCCGTTAAGCCCAGCCCTTACATATCTGCTAAGGTCCTGCAAATCGACAGCGTTATAAAGACGTGTAGGCCTATTTGTGGGGCAAGTACGTCGTTCTGGCCCTGTCAGTTGTTACGTTTGATAGTTATATTCCCAGTAGTTCATGTTATTTTAGTTGCTCAACCTTCGAGAAATACAATGAAAAACTGTCATTATTTTTGGTTGTGTCTTTAGCTGTTACAACAAAAATATCTGAATAATGTTGTAATGTTTGATTGATTTGAATCTTCTAATGTACATTTAAATAACAAAAATCGCATGTTTAATGAGTACAATTGTGTTCATCTCCAAAATATTTAGCGCGATCTTGTGCCAAGCTGTAGATAAAGTAGGCCCACATCTTTTCATTTACAATTTAAAATTAAACTGAAGATCAAAAATGAGAATCTTATCAAATGACTCAGCACTTTGAAAATACCAATAGAGATAATACAAATAGATCGATCAACATATTTGAAAAAGAAACCTCACAAGGAAATAACAACAAAAAATAATTATCATAGGAACTCTCACAGAAAGGACCTCAGAAAAGAATGCAGTAGTGGCGCCAGGGACCGAGGACAGGGCCCCCTCAATCACAGCCATTTTCCAAGTGGAATAATAAAAGGAAATTAAGTATGGTGGCAATAAAATTGCAGCCTAGCTCAGTCGGCTTATCTGGTGGTAGCCACTGTGTGTACTACCACAGCACACACGATGTACCCGGTTCAATTACCATCGCTGCCTCTACTTGTGTTTCAGCTAGAGGGCTGAAATACAAGTTACAATAGCGCACCGTCTTTTGAATAAGACGTTTAAGCCATTGGTTCCATGTGCATTTATAATAATAATAATAATAATAATAATAATAATAATAATAATAATAATAATAATAATAAAGATTTATAAAGCGCACATCTCCACCAAAGGTGCTCAAGGCGCATAGACAATTAAACCAACAAGATCCAAATAATTCCCAGAAGAATTTTCAGCAAAATCCAAATACCAATTATCCCATCGAGGCAATGTTGCTCCCCATATAAGTATACGCAGATACCCTAAGGCAGTATGTTGAGCATCAGCACCTTCCACCCCAGGATAAGCCCGGGGATCCACTACCGTGCACTGCAACAGGAGTTGCATTGCGTCGACAGAGAAAAGTGGTATCATGTGTTTAGTTTTTTTTATAAATTTTTTTAAATATTTTTTTTTTTTGTGAGTAATATAAATTCAACAGAGAAACATCAAGGTAGTCTATACGCCTCGGTGGAAATCCAAAATAATTTCAGAAAAATTTCAAGCAGAATCCGCACACCAAATTATCCCATCGAGGCAGTGTTGCTCCCCATATAAGTATGCGCAGATACTCAAAGGCAGTATGTTGAACATCAGCACCTTCCACCCCGGGATAAGCCCAGGGCTCCACTACCGTGCACTGCAAAAGGAGCAACATTGCGTCGACAGACGCAATCATTTTTTAATGATATAAATTCAACAGAGAAACATCAAGGTTCTCTATACGCCTCGGTGAAGAGATGCAATTTTAACGTTTTTTTTAAACAAGTTTAAAGATCTAATGTGTTTGACCGAGCAAGGTTAAGCGTTCCAAAGACGTGGAGCAGCAATACTAAAAGCTCGATCCCCGTAAGAGTGATGGCCCATGCGCAGGTTAAAGAACGCATTACACTCTTCGCAGAAAGAGTAGGCGATTTTCTCCTGGTGTACTGCCCAATCACCACCAGAAGGACCCCACTGGAAATAAATTGTCTTCCAGACTTTCGCGGGCTATCCTTGGTGTTTACACCGAATAAATCCAATAGTATTATATTTTTGATAGTTTTGTCTAATGTTCGCTTGATTTATCTTGATACACCACTCTTCCATTAGGATGATACATCAATAGAATAGTAATGTTTTGTCTATAGATTTAACAGGCGTACGCTGCTTGTTGTATTCTTGTCATCGGCTGCCATGTGTTTGTTTATTACAGCATTTACACCTTTAATGACGGGTAAGTCTGTTTGATTAGTACATAAATTTTATTTTAATAATTTGTACACAGGCCTATGGCTTGTTGATACACAAAATATCTCGAAATAAATAATGTTTGATAATAAAGTAAATATGTATCAATAAAGTAAACCCGTTGTAGATTACCATTTATTCCCATAAACGGTAATAAAGAGCCTTGGCCTTGTGCCTTGATAATAAAGTAAATCTGTATCTACAAAGTAAAATTGATGTCGATTACCTCATATAAATTAATATCTTCGTGCACTGTATAGGCCTATTATGTATTTTTTTTTCGTATTTAGTTAATAAAAAAACATGCCTTTGTGCTTAGAGATATATTTAGCTAATAAATAATACAAAAATATGGTATAATAATAGACTTCTATTTTTTAAATTTCAGAAAATGGAACAAATTTGTATCCTTTTATACTAACGTTTGCATGCATGGGCAAATTCGCAATCTGTTCGTCATTTGCAGTTATCTGGCTATATGGAAGTGAAATATTTCCAACGGAACTAAGGTATTAACATAATAACCCCCAAAACATGGTTGCATGGTGGCAAACACAAGCACGCTAGAGTTCCTATATAGGGACTCTAAGGCACGCAAGTATAGGGCGCCATCCACAGCAAAAGTCTATGTTAAAATAAAAATTTAATTGCAAAATTCAATGTCTAATTTATCAACATAGGTCTAATTTCTCAAAATGTAGGCCTAGTTTTCCAGTCCACATATCAAACGCCCTGAGCATCTTACATTAGATGGATATGTGCGCTATATAAAACTACACTATTATTATTATTATTATTAAAACGAAGTTCTAATTTTTCAATACATAGTTCACATTTTTCAAAATGTAGTTCTGAACTACATTTTGGAAAATTTAAACTACGTTTTATAAAATTAGAACTTTGTTTTGGGAAACTAGACCTAAATTTTGAGAAATTAGACCTATGTTTTGATAAATTAGACATTGAATTTTGCAATTACATTTTTATTTTAACATAGACTTTTGCTGCGTATGGCACCCCATACGCATGACCTTTGTTGACAGTTTGCAGAATCTTCAACAAGATGAAGGAGGCAACTTAACTGAGGAACAACAACAATGTGTTTATTCACCTAATTAACATTATTAGTTTAATAGGAAACTGTCAATTTTACATTTACCAAATAATATGCACACTGATACTGTAACTTGGTCCCTTAAATGGCGCTTTGTAATGTTTTACATATTAACATGCAATACCTATCTGAAATGTTCATCTGTGGGAAGTCGAAACCTGCTACATCTTCCTATTAAGGTCAGAGTCATATCACTACTTACAACTGACGAACGAAAATGAATAAAATAGGCCTATGCTGTATATCTATGTATATAGATTATGGAGCGATTTACCCACTAGCAGATTCCCCTTTATCTGTCTCTTATACACATCTAGATGTGGATAAGAGACAGCCCTCAATCACAGCCATTTTCC